AGAAAATGCCACCCAAAGTTGAAAAAGATCGAAAAAAATGATGTCAAGTCTCAAAAGTCTTGAAGATGAGTTGAGGGCAGAAATGTCTAAAACCGCCATGGTTTGCATAAAGTGGGGATTGAGTCAAGATCAAACTCAGGAGGTGTCTGTTGCGAGATTGTTGGAAATGAAGCCAGTGAAGACAGCTCTATTTCCTGCAAGTCTACCTCAAGATCAAACAGATTTTCTTTGCCAGTAACAGCAAGGGCAATTACAAGTTTGACAGGGTTACCTTCTACAGTTTTGATGGTTGGATATACAGCAGCAAGGTATTCGAGTGTTCCTGTAGTGGTGCGGGCATTTCCAGCATGTGTAAACATTGGGAGGAATTTCTTCTCACCTGCAAGTCAACTTACAAGGAGCACATCTTAGCAGCTGCCACTGGACAAACTTGGTGCAGCAAGTAGGAAAACAGTGTCCAAAAGCAATTAGATTAAGAGCCTTTTGTATAGATGCAGACAATTTCGATTTTGAAGCCCCTTTTTGCGTTTTTTAACTTTAAAAATATTTGATCATAGCTTGTTTTGCTTAAAAAGGAATAAAGAAAATGGCACATTAAGCACTTAATGACTGGCCCTAAGGGAGACAGTGAGTTTTGTTTCTCTGTGACCCTCAATGTTCCCCTTGGCTTTGCCTCGAGGAACATTGAGGTCGAGGAGAAACACAACTCACTGTTTCCCCGTGGGACCAGTCATTAAGTGTTTTGTTATACCTCCCAACTCATAAAATAGAAAAAAACTGCAAAGAAATTGTTTGCTTGAAGCCGGCTGGCTCACAAATTTGCCATGGTTTCAAGGAACATGAACTGCAAGTCTAAAGTTCAAATTGTTGTTTCCCTAGGGAGTTAGTGAGTTTTGACCCATGACATGAGACATGTTCAATCGGAAAACGTATTTGAGTTGGGAGGTATAACAATTGTGTTTGTCATAAGTGGATATGAAATGTTCCTCCTTAAGTATCATTATAATAATCTGTATTTAGTGATGTATTTGGCTGTCAAGTGTGAGTACATAATGAATTTGTGAAAAACAAAACTGTTTACACAGAATATTTCAACAAATACTTTTCATACAAAGGTAACCTTGAACTATCCAGGGTGTGCAAGGGAATTCCAGGCAACATTGGGTGAAGATCTTCAGGCCCTTGGAAAAGCCTTAGCAAGACAAGGTACTTATAAACAGATTGCAGATGCTGCACTTCATTGCCCTTCACTGAAAACCTTCCTAATAAAAAAAACCCTACAAGCTCTGGGCAAAGAATGCCATGACTTATGCTCTAAAAAAACCCATCTCTGCTATGTAAGAGTGGACCAGATGAAATGGAGAACTTTTCGTTTCAAAAACTCTCTGAAGAATGGAAACAGAGAACACCCCTTTTTTACTCCATTTTTATGACATGCGCAACAGTCAAGGAAAAAGGTTGTGACTGGACACCTGCCGTAGCAGTAGCTGGCTCCGCTCTTTTAAAAAATTGCAGTATGCACATGGATGCAGTAGCATCACTTATCTCTCTCATGGTCAGGCAAAGTGCAACACAGGTTTGTCAATGAAATTAACAAAATTTTGGTTAGTTTTGTAACATGACAGAGACCCTTTTTCATATCTGATTACAGACAATCAGAGGCCACCATTGATATTATAAGTATATATGCTATCCGCTAGCCAAAGTAGCTTAACAGGCTGCACCCAGTTGTCATACCATGTAGTGACTAGGAGTATTCCTACTTCTTGTAGTGGGCTATCAATAATTAATTAACAAATGAGTAGAAAATTGTTCTTATACCTCATGTGGTTCCTTTCATAAGATTCAAATATATCTACCTTGGTTTAAATTTATCACTGGTTTAAAATAAGGGAAGTAAAAATCAGACTGGTTTCAAACATTCTAAACCACAAAGAAATAAGAATAAACCACAACATATAAGTATATGCAAGTTTTATTAAGTTTTGTGCATTACATGTATCTATCTTCAGCAGAAATTGATTCAGCGATTAAATGCAACGAAACTAAGACTTCTTTAAGAAAACTTGACTGCTATGGCCCTAAATTTGATGAAAAACTTAGAGAACTGCGAGAGCTTCAGACCAAAGTGATTTCCAATCCAGAGGAATTTAAACTTGAACACACGGA